AGGCCCCCGCTCCCGCCCGCGTCCCTGCCCCGGGTCCCCGGCATCCTGGCCCCCGCAGGCGCCCGCGCCCGGGCTGCCTTTACTCCTCGCGCGCCTCCGCCGCGTCGCGGCCCCCTCTCCCCTCCACCCGTTCGGCGCAACTTCCAAGCGCCGGTCGCGGGGCGCCCCCCGCACCTGCACCCCCCGCCCTCCCCACCCTCGCCGGGCCCAGCCGCTCCAGGATTACCTGCTTGGGTGTCCTGGGGTCTCGTCCTCGGCAATGCAAATCCGTGTTCGGCCACTCGCACCCTCCTCCCGCCTGCCCTCCTCCCCTCCTCCTCCGCCTCCTCCCCCCTGAAAACGAGTCGGTGTCAGTCACGCTGCTCCTGGGGAGAGTCGCCGGCGGCTTCCGGGAGCTCCAAATACAGACAAGCCGAGGGGGAGAGAGAGAGAGGGAGAGCAAAGCTAAGCGGGCGGAGAGTGGAAATAAAGGGGAGCAGAGAGGAGAGGCGGATGGAGGAAAGGAGGGGCAGACGGGCCGTGGGAGAAAAGAGAGGGAGACGGGGAAGGCAGAGTAAGGGAAAGACAGCCTGCCAAGAGCCAGGCTATGAAAGAAATGAATTCACTGCATCAGGCAGCCTTGCAAAGAAGTGTGGAAAGGTCTGGGAGGCTCACTGGTTGAAGGAGCCACAGATAGATTGGATCCTCAAAGACTTGTGCAGAGAAACGATGGGTCCTTAGGAAGCAAGAGACAGGCCTGTGAGTCCCCTAACCCCAATACATGGATAAAGGCCCAGGCAGGAGATGGAGATGGACATCTAATGCTTTAGCTAGGCATCAAGTTCAGAGGCGCTCGAAGCTTGTAACAACATTTTTTTTAATGTAGTTTTTCAAAATGTATTTTACATATGTCTTTAAAAGGAAAAAAGTTGCCTGATTATTTAAAAACAAATGTACCTCAAACCAATCTATTTTTATTTGCGTCCATTTCCCCTTTATATATTGATCATAATTACAAAATTGGAAGCTTTTTACTTTTTTGTTAATGCTATTAGAAGAGAGACAATGATTTTCAATTTTCATCAGTTTATTTCAATCTAAAAAAGTGGACTGGAAGCTCTTCATTGAATGAATGCCAGGAAAATAATTACAGACAAGAGAGAAAGAGGGAGGAAATGTAATTGATGATTTTTAAAGCAAAATTTCCAAACAAACACAAGGATGAATGTCTAAAAAGCCAATATTTTCTGTCGATGTTAAAATTGTATCTAATTCAGTTCTGTGCATTACAAAGCTTGTTCTGACCCCACAGGTCACAGTTTAAATGAAGGTCATTCCTATTACACATTGCCCTTGGCCAACAGTGGGGATGGGCAGTGCCTCTTTGCTTCCCTTTGTCTGGCAAGAAGGGAAACAAAATGACCTAAACATTGATAAATGAATGCATACACTGCATATATCCAGAGCCAGGGCGATCCCTTTCATGCACATGCCCTGCATTTGGTAGGTATTCAATAGATTTATACTGAAGAACGAATGAGTAGATGGATGAAGTATATATGTATTTAGAACATTTATGTTCCAGGAATGTAAAAAATAATATATTCATAAGAACCACTTGTGAAGGTTCACAGGGACCTCCCAAGCATCCAGACTAATATGACTTTTATTTTCTAGCATTAACTTTAACAAATATTAGTAGAACGTTTCCTTTACCTAAATATATTTTGCATTGGAGTATCAAGTAATATGGAGGATAAAGATGAATAAGGCACAAATCCTGCCCTTAGGTTTATAGTATAGTAGGAAAGTGAAGAGAGTGTAAAGATAGCCACAGTGTAAGGCAGACTGTAAAAAATGTCCTAAGAGAAGTATAAACAAAGTTCTGTGGATGCGCAGAAGAGAGGGAGGTTGCGTCTAGTCCTGGGATCAGAGAATGCATCCAGGTGGAAATGAGAGTTGAGCTTCAAGCAGAAATAAAACGATAAGAGTGGATGGTGGGGGAAGGACACTCGAGATGAAAGGAACAGCAGGGACAAAAGTGGAGAGGTGACAAAGGATGGGACATGTATGGACAGGCAGTGGGCTTAGCTGGAATGGAGAGTCGTGAGAGCCAGATCTGGGAAGGAAGGATAGGTCCCAGCTGGGGGAGGCCTTTAATCTTAGCCTATGATGTTTGAACCCTAAGGGGCAGGCACTGGGGTCTTTTGACAGTTTTTGAGCTGAATCATGATAACAATGGTTAATTTGGTAGTGCTATCTAGGATTGGAAAGAGATAGGAGGCAGGGAAGTCCTCTAAGAAATAATGCACTGGTTTGGAGGGGAAAGTAATGAGTCTTAACCTGGTGCCTGAATTCTTCCATAACTAATTGCACCTAGCATAGCATCCGTGTGCTATGTGACATCCCACAATGGGGCTAATCCCCACTGAAGTCTTCTTCCTCACAACTCTCTAATATTTATGGTCCATATTTCCAACTAGACCTGACAATTCCAAGAAAGCAGGGATCATGTCTGTGTAAAGGTTCAAGGCTATTTCCCCAAGGCTGACACAGAAAGGTCATTGAGTACATAGTTGTTGATACATTTTTCTTTTACAGGATTCCTTCTGAAGGTAGTGGAGTTGGAAAGAAGAGAACAGACAGCCAGCTCTTCTAAATCTTTTCAGTCCTCCTTGAGATTCCAACGCAAACTTGCCTTTCTCCTTAGCAGATGATCTTGTTACCTGCTGTACAAGGAGGCTGATGCCACGCTAACTTCCATGCCTTCAACTTGTCTCCCTCTACCTCAAAATTTGTCCTCTCCTCTCCTCTGCTCTTGATATTTCACTTGAATTAATGTCCCCTTTCTTGTCAAAGCTAACAATTTTCTTGTCTTGACAAAGACCTTGGGCCCCTACTCTTGCATCTAAGCCTTTTCCTCTCCATTGATTTTTGTTCGCCTGGATAACATTCCAGTTGCCACCAGCCAGGGCTGTACCCAACAGCCGATAGCACAGTAGATGCATGGGGAAGAGGAGGGGCCCATCGCTGGAATGGTTCTACTGTTCTTCTGCCTTTCTTTTTGTAGCAGAAAACTTTTAAATTAACTATGTTTTATGAAGGGGATTTGCTAGAATCTTGACAGAGGGTAGGTGACTCAGCACCTCGAAATTCATAGTCTATAAAGCTCATACAAGAATTGGGTGGAATCCAGGCTTCCACGATCCTCTCCCAGAATCCGCTTCTGAGTTCCAGATCAATCTGACATGCACGAGGCTAATCATCTCTGAGCTGGCTTTGTGAAAAGTTCTCCCTCAAAGGGGTGTATTGAATGGAAACAAATGGACCCAAATAGACCCTCTTTCCTAAACAGTGTTCATACTGAGGCACAGAAAGAGAATGGGTCCCTGAATTCCAGTTGTGCCCTAAAGGAAGTTATGCTAGGGCCCTACTTCACCCATATGGCTGCTGAGACTACTGAGACCCAATTATTGCTCCAGTGCTACCTTGCTTTAATCCCCTCTACCCTACTGGTATGGTCTCTTACTGGCAAATGGAAAACATCCAATCAACACAATGTTCTTTTTTGGAGCTTTTCCTGGTCCAGAAGGGGGAAAGGATAAAGATGGTGTACCTCCACAAACACGCCTTCTCAGGAGTCAGAAGTTCTGAAGAACACGTTACCAGTGTAGCATGAGAGTTTGTATTTTATTTTAATAACTCCCAAGTGGAAAGCTACCAATGGTAATTTACCAGCAGTTAATTCACACATTGTCTTGCTGAGGATGCAGCACCCTAAGCGAACTGATAATAAGAATCATAGCTAAGACTTATTGAGCACTTACCACTTGCCAAGCTCCATTCTAAGCATTTTATATGTATTAACTCATCAGCCTTATGAGGTGGGTACTGTTCTTGTCTGCACTTTATAAATGAAGAAACAGGCACAGAGAGGTTTAGCCATTTGTCCAAGATTGCAAAGCAGCATTGGTAGTGGGATTCTGGATCTAGCAGTCTGGCTTGACTTTGTACACTTAACCACTACACTTTACTGGAATAAATAGGAACAAATAGGAATGAATGGAAAATTGCCAGTTGATAATATCACAAATACTTACTACAAGACTAGATATCTGAACAGTTGTGATGGGATTGATGTCTATGCATCAGCAAGAATACCTAGAAATAAAATGGATATCCTGCTTCTATTGAGCTGATGTACCAGGAATCAGTAAACCTGACTAAGGAAAGTGATGGAACTTGATAGTTCCTCTGAGTGAGCTGTACAGAGAAAGGGGCAGCTGAGTCATACTCTCTTGAGTTCATGAGATATGGACAAAAATAAGTTATATAAGTTAAGTGTCACCTCATTTCTGTAATCAAACTCTCTTGGCAGAGGTTAACAGTGAGCCACTGATTGCTTTGGGTGAATGAATTCTTTACATTCTTTCTTCTCAAAGAGGGAACCGGAGTAGCTCAACTCTTGCGTCCTGACCCTCCTCCTCTCCATCAGAGCATTGGAAGCTTGTGCCCGGGAAGTCAAGGACCCTGAAAACAAATTTAAAATATTCCAAGCCTTTGCCATGTGACGGTCCTTAGTAAGGATTTCTATCTTATTTCTTCCATATGTCCTGACCTAGTGTCTATAAGAGAGAGAACTAACTCTTTGAGGCTCTGCTACATGGTCTGATTTTCCCTGATGTGGAGGAGTTGTACTGAGCTGTCACTTGATGGAGCAGCTACAAAGTATGGCAGAGCTGGCTACACCGCATCACCTCTGCAACACCACCTCCATTGCCCACCTTCCCTCCACTCCCACCCCCACCCCACCTCTTTTGGCTACACCTTGCCCTTGGTTACGTAGTTCTAGCATAGAAACAAATTGGAGGTAGCAACACACTGCCTTCTTTTTTCCAGTGTGAGGATTCTTAGTCATTATTTTGATGGTTCTGTCCACCCACAAATGTGGGGGGGAGGGGCAGGGATGAGCACGGAAATTGAGTGGATGAACTATAAATAGAAGAAAGCAAAGGTGAACAACACGTTTCCCCAGCACCACAGACACTAAAAATGACACTTTTTATTTGTTCGGTGAGCAGAGATTCTTAACCTGGGATCTCTAGACAGGCTTCAGGAGTCTGTGAGCTCCATGAATTGTGAGTAATGTTTTAGGTTTTTGTGCATTTATCTGAGAAGACGATCCACAGCTTTTGTCACATTTTTTCGGAGTCATTTATGTCTAAAAATTGATCAAGATATCCATAATTTACAAAAGTGCAAAACAGAGAAAAGTAGTTCCTTCCTGCCTTTTCTTTCCAAGTCCCTCGGCAATGGCAGCGTCTCAGCCTCAGGTCAACACAGGCTCTGGTTCTCCAGAGCAGAAACGTGAACAGCTTCACTCAACAGAATCATGAAGGTAGATCATATTTGGGAAGTTTAACCTTTTGGGGGTATCTTCTTTTTTAAAGGGCATCTTGTGATGACCATGCCTTCACTCAGAGAGATAGCTCACTAATCCCAGGCACCGAAGTGGGCGTGGGGTGAGGTTCAGAGGCATTTGAGAAGATGAAGGGGGCTGGCGGACACCACTCAAACCGCAGGGCATGTCTCTAATAACGCACTTTGTGGAT